TAGACTTGGTTTGAAAACAACTCTTGGTTTGACAATTTCTAGGCAGGCTCAGGGACCTGCTCGAAGAAGAATAAAAACACCTGACCAGAGGGGGAAGACACGCCTTCGGCGTGCCCGTTCTGCGCGCCCGATGTTGCTCCTCATTGCTGTCCATGGGAAGCCTCTGGGGGGCTTGTTGGGGTATCTTCAAGGTCTGTTGGCGGCCTCGGGGGTCACCTTGGGCCAGAGGAATCGAAATGTCGCTGTCATCGTGAACTTCGTGGGCCGTTTTGGGGCCCTCTTCAGCGGTCTGGGGGCCTTCCGAGGCCGTCTTGACGCTCTCTTGGGGGTCTCCAGGGATGCGTCTTGGGATGTCTCTGGCCGCGAGAAGCTATCGAAGGCGGCAACGATTGAGTTCTTCCAAAGCTTAAAGATCATCCCGGCAAAGCACCGTCGTAGCCGTCTGGGGCATCCGTCTTCCACGCGGGTTGCCCTCGGCTTGGAATCTTGTGGGAAGGGCCTGAAGTCCGAGCAGCCGCCGGGCCAGTGAGACGCCTCCCCCCCCGCCTTCCGTGCGGAGGTTCGGGCCAAGGGAAATCGAGCCAGAGTGAGGAGGAGGAGGAGGAGGAGGAGGAGGAGGAGGTGCTGGGCCAAATCGAGCCAGAATGCCACAGCGAGCGCTGCTGGGCCGCTCAGCCAGGGCACCGCCGGGCCCGGGAGACGCCTTCTCCCCGGGCCTCCCTGTGGAGTTTTTGGGTGGGAGATTCTGGGTGAGACGAGATTATTGATCACTGCTGGAGCTCTGTAGCGAAATGCGATTCGGAACAAGACAATGTGTTGGCCTCCTCCGGGATGGGATCTGGGTTCGAGTTTCGAGGATGTGAAGTTGCCCCCAGACATGTTTATTTCGTTTCGGCTGGTGGGGCCCGGCACCGTGAGTTCTGGATTCAGAGTGAGAGCCCGACCGGGGAGGATCCCATGATGAGTCGGGGGGCTTACCTTGGTCGGATTTCGGGTGGAACGGGGGAGGGCGGAGGCTGGACTGAGGCTCGAAGTTCGAGAAAGAGGGGTCGCGATTTCCTCCTTGCTATTTTTTGTCATTCCCAGGGCATCATGGAGGCTACTGTCACAACGGGTAGATTCCCTTTCGACCTTCTAGGAAAGCACAGCGCACCTTTTCGCAAAACGCACCCCGACACGAACCGATAATGGCGCGGGTTTTCCAGGGAGGGTGGATGGTGAACATAGAAAACAAGAGCCGCACTTCGGATTCGGGGAAACAAATCCCGCGAACCATTATGGAATGTGTAAATCGGAAACAGGGAGAGAGAGAGAGAGGGGGGGAGAGAACTTTGGAGCCGGGGTCTCAGGAAGAACAAAGGCCCCGCTATAACACAGGACTGGTGGAAGAAAGGACGCGGTTGGCGAGTGCAGACTGGCATCTGTCGTTGCCTCGGTCGTCGCATGGATTGATTTTCGCGAGGCATCGGTCGTTGCGTCTGCGGCGTAGTGTAGCGGAGTCGTTTCAATGGCTGTCGTGTTGTCCAGCACGTGGCGTCAGTATATATATATATATACATATATATATATAACATATATATAACGATGGTTCGGGATGCAATGGTCTATGTGTGTTTGTGGGGCGACCGTGAACGTGGCGTGCTGTCTGTCCTGGCCGCCTCTTCCTGTCCCTGTCTCCCTCCGAGTATCCCACTTCTCCTTGGCACTTCATCACCTGACCCTTTCCCTCCCATCAGTCCGCTAGTCTTTGTAGAGCTCCCGACATTGCCTCAGGAGTTGCATTTCGACGCCACGTCTGTTCTTTGACGCACAGGGCACTTCGGGCATTTCTGGTATCGGGTGTCGGCAGTCTGGCCGACCCTCTCACACGTTGCAGTCCTGCTTCTTCGGTGTCACGCCTGTCTGTGTATGACCGACGGTGATCCCAACGTGTACCGGAGGCAGCGGTCGTACAACGGAATGCGTGCCTTCAACACGCTCGACGGGAAAACGATTGGATTCTCGTTCCGTACTTTTGGTCAGTGACGAACGTTTGCGGCTTACGCTTGAGGGGACTACGGGTGGTTCTCTCAGGGTCACTGCAGGCCTTGTTGAGCTTAGGGCGAGCCACTCGTGCAAAAATGCGCCGTGGTGTTTGTGCGAGTGTTGTCGGAGTGCTGTTGTATACAGCTTGCTTGGTGCCATTGGCAATAGTGCATCTGTTTGGAAACATGTATACATTGTTTGATATTTGTAAGGAAGTGTTACTGTCGGCGAGTCTAGGCTGGCCTCGGTCGTTGCCTCGGTCGTCACATGGAACGTTTCTTGCGAGGCATCGACCGTGGCGTCTGCGGCGTAGTGCAGCGGAGCCGTTTCAATGGCTGTCGAGTTGTCCAGCGCGTCTCGAACCCGATGCCGTGTGCACATATTCATATCGAAGGTGCCGGTGGCGAATCACCGCCGTCCCTTGCCTGTAGGGACAAGTCTATGTGGCTAAACGTTTGGGTATCATTTGGCCACGCTATTTGACCATACGTTCCGCCAGCCGTTGTGGAAGCCCTTCGTGCAACAGGTGGGGGAGGATGAGGAGGATGAGGAGAGGGAAGGAACAGGAGGAGCAGGAGCAGGATGAGGAGACCTTTTGAGAGCGTCTTGGGTCATTCGTGGGGCCTCCTGGGAGCTTACTGGGGATCTCTTGGGGGGCCCTTTTGCAGTCTTCGGGTCCGTCTGAGGTCGTCGGAAGTCGTCTCAGAAGCTTCTTTCGGGCCGTCCTGGGGCCTCTTGGATTGGGCCGTCGGAGGGCCGTTTCGAAGCACATGCAGAATTCCAACAAAAACATAAGGAACAGGGCCTCTTCTGGCCTTCCTGGAGGACCTGTTGGAGTCCTTTTGGGCCGTCTTATGGGCCTCTTGGGCGCTGCTTGGGCTGTCTTGGGCTCTCTTGGAGGCATCTTGGGACCGTTCTGGGGGCCATCTTGCGGCTATCTTCGGCTCTCCCAGGGCCGTCTTGGAGGCATTTTGGAGGCTATCTTGGGCCATCTTGGCCGTCTTTGAGCCCATCGAGGCCGTCCTGGAGAGATGTTTGGGAAATCTGCCTAAGGGCTCTCCTGGTGACACGCGGGTTGGGCCGAGACCCCACTGGGAGTTCTGTAGAAAGGGACCATAAACCACCCAGACGTCCAGCACGCCAAGCACCCCTGTGTCAAATCAACCCGGGGGGCGGATGACGGAAAGCGCGCGTAGTGTCGCAATCCGTTAGTCGGGAGGAAAAAGCAACTGTTTGGGTGGGGGGTGAGGCAGCCAGGGCGTCAGACCCAAGTTTCGGCCATGTTCGGCCCAAGACGATCCAAGTCAGCCCCAAGAGCGCCCAAGAGGCCCCCAGGTCGGACCACGAGGCCCGAAGCTATCTCCAAGACGGCGTCGGAGAGGTCCAAGAGGGCTCGAAGACGGCCCAAGAGCGCTCCAAGGGGGCCCAAAATGGTTTCAAGACAGCCCCAAAGGCTCCAAGGCGACCCAAAAGGCCCCCAAAGGGGATCCACGAGAGGCACACATCGATCTCCTTCGGGAAACGTGTGTTTTTGGCACGCCCGCTTCTTTGGTCTTCACGGCGCCCAAAGGGGTCCAGGAGGCCCCCGCAAGACCCGCCCCAGGACGGCCCCGGAGGCCCCCGGGGCGGCCAGAGTGGGCCTCAGGACGGCCCGTGGAGGGCCCGCAGGAGGGGCCCCGAGAGAGCCCCAGGAGGCTCCCAGGAGAGCCCCATAAGTGAAAGGCACCACTGAAGAGGGACCCCGGGAGGGCCCCCAGAGAGCCCCAGGCGGCCCCGGCCCGCCCAGGCGGCCCAGGGGGGCCCCGGGGGCGGCCCCCGAGGGCCCCCCTGGACGGCCCGAGAGAGCCCCGGAGGAGCCTCCGGGGAGGGCCCGCCGATGCCACAGCTGCAGGTTGTCGCCGGGTTCGTGGCCAGATCTGTGTGTCGCACCGAAGCGTTGAGATTGACAGGGCTCCAAGGCACTGAGCCAGCGACCTCGCACCCTCACGAAATCAGCGCGCTGGTCGTGCTCATGCCAAGCAGGTCGAGTTGCCTTCGGCCCATCCCGCCACGGCGCCTGGGTTGTGGGTCAGAGGCCTCCTGGATGCCTGTGAGGATCTCTTGGGAGGCCATCCAGCATTGAACCACGGCGAAGAACTACCTCCAGGAAAGCGGTCGGGACTTTTTGGTCTGCGGATGGGACACATCAGGTCGGCGCGTGTTCGAGCGGACAGCCACTTGTCTCAGAGGGTGTTTGTGCCACCGCTTACTGCACTGGGCAGGAGTCCAGTTAAGCGCCCAGAGCACTGGAACGGAAAAGGTTCGTGACGTGCTGACGGCGGCATCGACCCCGCCGCGGGCGCTCGATATGGAACGCCGCAGGTGGCCCGGAGTCGTTCAATCACGGGAGGGTTTGGCGATCGAGAGGCCGCCGGTCGCACGAGGTTGAACGATCCACGCGGTGTCAAAGAACCGGCGCCGGGGCTGTCGCTGCACGAGCCTGCCCCAGGATTTCAGTTGGGCCCGGAGCTCAGGGGCAATATCAAGGGGGGCCAGGCTCAGGGGGGGATGCATCTGCCCGCAGTCGCCCAGTGGTTGCTGGTAGTGGTATGATAGCCCTCCTCGCTCAGGAACGATCTGTTTCGCGACCGGGCGCCTATCGCCGATCTGTCGGCGACGTATCGTTAATCCCAGCTCGACGCTTTCCCCCTGAGCCGGTCTACGGGTGGCTTTCGGATCATATTTCGGGCCGTTATAGCGGCCGTTCGGGACGATCCAGGAGCCCCCGAGGCTCCCTCGTCGAGGCGCAGCCGCTGGAAGGCATCCCGAAGCTGGAAAGCCGCCGAGAAGCAATGAATACTGCCGAAGCCCTCGAACGCCGATCCTTCGAGCGTCCCGCCCCCGTCGTTGCCCCTCAAGGGCACAAGCAGCCGATCGATCACCGCGCACGTGTCCGGGGGGAGACTTGGCGATGGAGCCCCACGTCGGGAGGGCAGGCGGCTGGTGGTCACGTACGTGCGCGGGTTCTCGAGCAGGCTCTCGCCGTTCGATTGGAAGCCTCAGGAGGGCGGGGGGGCGGAGTGGCAGGTCTCATGAGCGGCGAACGTGTCCATATCCGCGCCCTCGCGGGTTGGATTCTGGATTCCTTGGCGCGATCCTTGGGATACGTACGCGGTCGCACGGATACGCGCCCTCGCGGTCGCGCGCGGCATCCGCGAAAGCACACACCGTATTTGGGGGGTCGCGGCCCAGGGGTTCAGCCCGCGATGCCGTTGATACGGATACGTGTTTCGCCCGATCTGGTAATGGAGGAGGAGGAGGAGGAGGAGGAGGAGGAGGAGGAGGAGGAGGAGGAGGAGGAGTAGGAGAAGGGGACGGAGGAGTAGGAGAAAGAGTGGGTATCAGAAGAGGTGGAGGATGACGAGGAGGGCGAAGAGTTAGAGAAGGGGGAGGAAGAGGAGGAGGATGAAGAGGCAGAGGAGGGAAGGAACGGGAGGAGGAGGGGCAGGGGGAGGAGCCTGTCCCCCCGCCTGGTTCCCGCCGCCCCCCCCTCGAGGACCCGGCCTTCCGGTCCAGCCTGCCGCTGCCAGAGCCATTGCTCCCGGACTCAGGGGGCGGGGCAGGGCGTGGCCTGCCACGGGGGAGTGGGGGCAGAGAGGGGAGCAGAGGTTGCCAGATGTGTTCGCGTCGTGAATAAAACACTGATAAAGCATGGCGGCCCACGAGCGTCAAAAAACGACTCAGGCTGAAAACCCGGTCCACGGGAAATGGTCGGAATTTTTGGGGACCGCGCATTGAAAACAACAGGTTTGGGTTGAAGACATTCTTTCCCAACCATCGTGTGGTGTTGGGTCCTCGTTTCGACGCGACGGCGCCGCGCGATCTCCTCCCGCCTGTTCCCTCCTCCCTCCTCCCTCCTCCTCCCCCTTCATTCTCCATCCTCATCATCACCATCACCACCACCAGCATCGTCGTCATCATCATCATCATCATCATCATCATCATCATCATCATCATCATAGCACTCATCCCTGTTGCTTCGAGTTTGCCCGCAGCTGATGGGACAGCGCGAATCCTGGGCACAGCTGCTCTGCTCTGCGCCCCTTGCGTTCCGACCAGATCGGAACACTCGTTGGTTCTCAACCAGTGCTCTGTTTTGCAGTGCGATGTCGTCGTTTTTGATCGAGAAAGCGATCGCGGATCTGACGGCGCAGGTGGCTGCGTTGACCAGTCCAATCACGAAGGTGACTGAACAGGTAACAGAGATTGCCGAGGTTCTGAAAGGGATGCAGGAAGGGTTGAAACAGCATATGAAGAAGCTGGCAGAGACGGATGCGGCATTGGCTGTTCTGAAGTCGCTGGCGAACAGCGGTGGCGTTAGCAGCAACGTCGGTCTCATCAAGGACGATGGCAGTGAGGGCAACGTGGCGAAGAAGGCTGCTAGGCTCGGTGCTCGTGCTAGACTTGACAATCAGGACCTGCTCTCCGAGGGGGATTGTTGTGGGCTTTGGGGACGAGTTCATTCGAAAGGTCCTCGCCGAGGCGGGGACGTCAATATTGACAGCACGCGCTCGGGCCGAAATTCTGTAGCTGATGAAGGTCACCCACCAGAGCTTCTCGAAGAAAGTGATTATTGTGTTCCCGTCGGGTGATGCAGCGTCTGAGAGTCTCGAGACGTTCCGTGATATCTACCCTGATGGTTTCGAGTTCGTTATTTCCAAAAGCCCTCGCATCTTGCGTCTAAAACCTCTCAGGGACGGTGAGATTAACAAGCAGCTAACCGTGATAGGCAATATTAGTTCGGAGTTCGAGTCAGTCGTCAAGTCGACCCCGCAGTTCCCGGGCTGGTCAGTCGACCCCTCGGTCGGGAATGGCATCGCGTTCGTTTTTAATGGTTATACGGACGATGCGCTTAAGATGTACTGCGTTCAGAAGCCCTCGTTGGTGTTCGCGCAGCCGCGCGTGATCGCCTTCGCCTGTCACTTCAAGCAGATCGGTTCCGAGAGCAAGCACGATGATATTGTCTCCAAGGTATGGGAGCAGCTGCGTCTTCAGCACGTCCTCTCTTTCGGAGTCTAGTGCCTCTGAGGAGGCTGGGTGGCCATCACAAGAGGTGGCCTCTCTTCTGTTTGAAGGCCGTGTCGACGAGATCCTATATAATCTAGGGGAGCTCGGTGCGACGTCGCCCCCCCCTTCGTTCCCAAGAAGCCGATGTCGATCGTCGCGTAGAATGCCAGAGGGTTGCTTGCCAGCGTTACTAGCATGAGGGATCGGGCTTGCACTCGTTGGAGGTTGTTATCTGCCTTTATTCGTCGCAATCAGATCGCCCGCGTTCAAGAGTCTCGTGGTCATGAAGGTGACGCAGTCTTTCTCCGGAAGGAATTCCCGTCCCACAGGTTCTTCTTCAACCCCGATCCTACCAATGCCGCTGGTCACGGCATCCTCGCTTACGTTCGGGATAAGTTTGCGTTTCAGTTCTGTGGTTTCACTCAGAAGATTCTCCTTCCTTGTACGGCGTCGTGCGTTCTTGGTTGGGGTGCGGCTGGTCTCTTGGGGATCGTTGCAGTTTGCCTGTCCAATGTCGATGCAGTGATTGGCTATTACCGTCGCTGCTCTCTTGCATCCCCGCTGCTCTTCTCCCTGCTGCTATCGTTGCCCACATCCTTCTTGGCGGCTGCAACTTCGTCTTCGGCGATGATGAGCGGTTCAATCTCGAAGATGGGACTCTATCTCGTGGTGTCACGGCCTTCACTCGTGAGTGGCCTCAGGATACTCGGCGTGCATGTCCGGGCCCCAAGGTTGTCTCGACGGCTCGTCTTGATCGCTTGCATGTGGATATTCACCCGGCTGTGCTCATGGACCTCGTCGTGGCTGGGGCCACGATAGGTGTGCCTGCGACCCCAAGAACCCCTCAGATCATGCCCCTGCGACGGTCACCGTTGCCCCTAAGGCTCGTTTCCCGGGTGCCCCGCCTCCGCTGCCAGGTTGGATCTCTCCGACTCCTGAGTTCACCGATTGTCTCGACAGGTTGATCGCTGCGATCGATGCGCGACCCCCGATCCGTCCTCGGTTAGCTCGGGCCCAGGTGGCCATGCACGAGGCCCGCGCTGAGTTCCACAAGAGATTGCGCTCTCGGCTGGCAGAATCGGGCCATGAGTATCTTCGTTGGTGCATTGCTGCTCTGAGAGGGTTTCGTGCTTCTGTTGCTCATTTTGCCCCGCGCGCTGAGCGTGCTTACCCCTTCTCTCACCGGCTTCTTTGACGCGGGCGCAGGCGCGCAATTTGATCCTCATGGGCTGCATGCGCTAACTGCCACGTTGAATGATCCACTTGTAGACAGCGAGGAAGACGCCTCGCGGCAGGCGGGGGGGCTTTCCGAGCACGAAGTACCGCGCAGGCGTGCCCGTGTGCAACGAGATCGTCAGCGTTGGTGCAGTTTGAACAAGTCCGTGTGTCTGGGTACCATCTTGGCCGAGAGCAAGGGTGCTCCTCGCGCGCCTTTGCAGCGCGCAGGCGCTGAGCTAGCTCGTCATTGGGGTGCTGTGTGAGCTGCCAAGTTTCCGGATCGTTCGCTCTGGCCCACCCTGTCCCAGCACGTTCAGCGCGCCGACATTCTATGCCCGAGTCAGGAATGGGTCTTGAACGCGGAAGCTTTTGTGACCCTGGTGAAGAAGTTTGGCGACCCGATGTCTGGGATCGACGGCCCACCCGTGGCCGCTGGAAGCACCCTGGGGCCCGGGCGACCCTGCGAGTTCTACCTGCATCGTGTAATTCATTCAGAAGACTCGCTCCCTGATGCCTGTCACGACATGTGGGTGTTTTTTCTTGCGAGCGGTGACCGGCCAATGGATGTTTCCGCTGCGTCTTCCAGGAGACCCACTCGACCCGTCTACTCTCCATGGGATGTGCCGATTGCAAGTTGACCGCGGCTGCAGTCGCCGGTCCCTATACCCTGGTGAGTACTCATACCATCTTGGAGTTTCAGACTGGCGGTGTCCCTGGGCCCTTGGCTCACCTGGAAGGCCGCGATGATGCGGCTTAGCTCTCCGCGGACTTTAACGCCTCCTCCCCTAGCCGAATCATCGACTGGGCCCTGCTTGTCCTACAACATATGGGGGCGCCTGCCTGGTCTGTGCAATATTTTGGAAACCTCTTCCCGGACAATGCGGCTAGAGTTCACACCGGTGCAGTGGTCCTAACTAGCTTCCCTGTCTGACGTGGGATCGGTCAAGGATGCCCTGCCCCCATGCTGCGCAGGTGGCTGGTCGCACCCCCCCCCCCCCCCCTAGGTTCAGTCTCCCAGGATGCGCCGACGACAGCCGCTTCCTATTGGCCAACACTTTCTCCGATTTGGCCCCGCTTTCTTTTAGCTCTGCAGACTCGCTGGTGCTATCGGGTTGGAGTTGCATTTCGGGAAATGCATTCTTCTCTTGGGTGATTATGGTGGCGAGATCCGTGTTCGTGCTTACCTAGTCTCACTTTGGGGCGGCTGTGAACGTTTCTCAGTGGTCCGCTGGTGCCGTTACCTCGGGGTCTCGGTCGGCCCTTGTGCCCACTTGCATTATTTCCCCCACCCACTATGAGAAGTACTTATTCCGAACTTGCAAGATCCGATTGGTCGGGGCTGGACTTGCCGAATCTATCGTCGCCAATTTCATTCGGGCCGTCGCGGTGTTGAGCTACGTTCTGCAATTCCATCGTCCTACTGTAAGTCTCTATCATCTCGAGTTTCGCGCCCTGCTGATTCTGCGCGCTGGCCCTCGATGCAGCTTTGGCGTCCCCATGGCGCGGAACCTTGTCGATGCCAGCTGAAATGCTCAGCGCGCCTCATGTTGCCACGGCGCCGGCGCCTATATGACCGCCCCGCGGGCGATAAGGAGGTTGCGGCTGGGATGCGCGGGGGGGGGGGGGGGGGGGGGATTGAGATCAAATGCCCGCCCTGACTGACCTCCAGCCTGTCACCTCGATCGCGCCCATGCGCCGACAAACATGAATTTATGGATTGGGTTGGGTGGGTTGCATTGGATGGGATAAGATGGATTGGAAAAGATAAGATCGGCTCGGTTGGAAGAGATGGATTAGACGAGGAGATGGATTGGGCTGGCCCGCCGCAGGCGCAGAAACAAATGGATTGATGGATTGGGTTGGATGGATTGGATTGAGTGGGTCTAGATAAGATTGGACAAGATGGGTCGCAAAATATGAGCTTGATTTGATTGGACAGTATGGATTGGATAAGATAAGCTGGATTGGATTTGATCCCCCGCCGCAGGCGCCGACAGAAATGAATTGACGGATTGGGTTGAATGGTTTGGATGGGAAAAGATGGATAAGATAAGATGGGTTGGATAGGGAGAAGTGGATTTGATGAGACAAGATGGATTGGATTGGCCCGCCGCCGGAGCAGGAGCACATGAATTGATGGATTGGATTGGGTGGATTGGACTGGATGGGATAAGATAAGATGGGACGAGATGGGCGGGATAAGATAATGTGGGTTGGGTTGGACAAGATGGATTGGATAAGATAAGCTGGATTGGATAAGAAATCCCGCCGCAGGCGCCGCAAAGAATGAATCATATAATTAGCGAAATGCGTTGGCGC